AATTTTGTTTGAATATTAAAGTAGTATGTTATGCAGACAAACAGCGATTAATTATTCCCCAGAAATGTACACTCAATTAATGTAATTGTTTCGAAATAGCTGCTATTCATTAATTAAATCACTTTGTTTTTTTTTATGTTATTTGTTGGTATGATAATTCTTAAAAATATAAGCTCATACCGATATTACACTCATTAAGAGTTTTCATTTGAGTACCCACATGCATTTTTATATATTTTTCATATATATCAATATATATAATATATATAAATATATGAAAAATTGATGTAGGTACTCAAATAAAAGGTCTCGATGAGTGTAACATCGGGATGAGCTTATATCTTTGAAGATGTCAATAGTTCATAAGATATTTGTTAAAATGCCCTGTATTATCTTAACTATTGACGTTTTTAAAGATATAAGCTCATCCCGAAGTTACACTCATCAAGAGCTTTCATTTGAGTACCCACATGGATTTTTATATATTTTTCATATATTAATATATATATAATATATGAAAAATATATGAAAAATTGATGTGAGTACTCAAATGAATAGTCTCGATGAGTGTAATGTCGGGGTGAGCTTATATTTCTAAAAATATCATTACTTGACAAGATAGCAAAGTCAGATCTTAATTATTGAAATTTTTCAAGATAATCTTATATATAAGCTCATCCCGATGTTACACTCACCAAGACCTTTCATTTAAGTACCCACATCATTTTTTCATATATTTATATATATCTTAATTATGTATCTAGAGATAGAGCATTTTTGTATGCAGCCTAAATACTTATCATCATAAATTGACTATTGGTGAGAATGATATGAAACCATAAATTATTTCGATGTAAAATAATAACTTCTGATGTAAAGTAATGTTTTAAAAAGCTTTTTTCAACATTTAATTTATTCAGCGACATAAGAACCCTTTAGATGACTCGACATACGCAGTTAGCTTTAAAAAAATATTCGGTTGACTCCTCGGCAGTTGCTTAAGAATAAAAAAAAAGTTAACACAAAAGGTAATGTTTTTTTTTTTGTATAATAATTCCCTGTTTTAAATCCTTGTCTTGAAAAGAGTATAAAGAAAAAAAGAGTGAAAACTCACTCGAAAGTTTTCTTTGAATAATCTACCCTTGCGCATTAAAAAAGTATAAAACTTGTAGAAGAGAGAAAGAATAGAGAATGGTTGAGGAGCTTCTTGTTGATATTCGGCTGGCTCATCAGATCAGTACGCGCTCTGAAGACTGCAGATTAACACTTTCCCCGATCTGATATGAAATTGAAATTATTCTTTCGACAGAAACAGTGGCACCGCTGGCTTGCATCACCCGAAACTATTATTATATATATATATAGATTTAGATGTAGCTCATCTCCATACTTCGAAACCAAAGTTGGTATATACTCGGCTCAACCAGTGGCGTTATATATTGACGGTTGGCAAACTCCGTAGACATCATCCATCCACACCGGGAAAGTTTGTATTAAACTATCCAGCAGTTTATCTTTCATATTCTATATCTCTACACCCCCACTATTATCATTAGTATTATTTACTTACATTTTATCTCATTCTGATCGTTATTTACGTCCCGAGAGTATCCTCAAATTTCACTGGGAAAATATATAAACTTGACTGTAATATCGTATTTTGAAATATTGCTTGGAAAAATATTGAATTTGTTATTATTGGTAAATATATTATTTGATATATTTTTTTTTTCAGATCTAGTGTTTATATTCAAAAGTTTATTTTTCTGCTGTGTAAACTTCAATTCAACCCGTTTCTGTATTCGTATTATGAATAATGTATTAATATTCAAATTTTGTAAATGATAACATGCATTTCTTGAATAAAAAATTCAATTGTTCAAATGTGTACTTAATTAACATATTTCATTACTCAAAAATAGGTTTACTAAAAGTTAGATAAAACTAAAAATAAATTATCAGCTAAGTTCTGATATTTTTTTTTTTACTTTATAACACTTCAAACTTAACTTTCTTATAACGAGAAGATTTAGCGATTGTGCGCCATCTGTGTGGCCAATTTTAATACTAAAAAATTTTTTTTGAGCGTGTTACTGTTTAATTGCCTTATCTGGAGTTTTTAAAATTAAAATTTAATTTATAGTGTGATAGAATCACAAAATTTAAAGTTTAAAAAATATTTTCTATACAGAAAAAAAGGTTTACTTGAGCCAAGAAAATATTTTACTTTCGAATTATTGTCTTGAGCGAAAAAAAAATTTTTTTTGACAAGAAATTTTACTTATTCCACCAAAATTAATTTTCTTGCTTTTAGAAATAAGTATCTTGATCTAAGAAAATTTATTTAAGTCAAGAAAATCTTGTTTTTTTTGAGAAAATTTAACCTCTTGCTCCAAAAAATTTAGTTCTTGATAGAAGTAAATTTTCTTGTCTTGACAAAATTTCTCTCTTGCTCCAAAAAATTAAATATAAAGATAGAAGTAAATTTTCATTAATATTTTTATTGATTAACATGTCAAATGGAAAGGTCAAATAATATTTCATCATTCTTTTTCATTCAATATATATAATTGCACGCTAAAATAATATAAAATGGATATCAAATATTCAAGAGAAAAATTTTCTCGAGGTTAGAAAATTTTTCTGAGAAGTAGGTGGCGCTGCTTCCCTAAAGTATCTAAAAATCTTGATCAAATATAAAAATTTATTGTATCAAGTATTTATGATAATTTGAATTAAGAAAAAATGACTTTCACCAAGAATAGAATTTAAAGAAAAATTTTTACTTTGACCAACACAATCTCGGTCTTCCACAGGCACCTGAAAATTTTCTTGAGCCAAGAATTTTGTTCTTAAAATGTTCATGTCAAAAAAACATTAATCTACAAATTTCTCAATAAAAAAACCAGCATAAATCCCAGCAATCAACTCCATAAATCAAAACACGTCTAAAAATTTCTCTAAAAATCCCTGTAATTTTTCATCGTCAATTACCGTAAGTCCTAAGAACCAACGGAATGCATGATAAGCCAAGATCATCAAAGGACAAAGAGCCAAAAGAAAAAACAATAGTACAAGGGTGATGAAGAAACACAAGATCCAAAGAGTACCTTGTAGAGATAAAGATGTTTGAAGAGTACATCGACCTAGCAACCTTTTTATTATTTCTCAAGGATCTTTTTTCTTCCCTTATTGTTTTATGTTTCCATAAATGTAAGCAATGAAAGCATTTTCATCCGCTTTTACGTCTCTGTCTCTGTCTCCTTTCTCAGCTCCCTTGTCGACACTGACAATGACAAAATAAACAATAATAAATTAAAAAAATAACACAAGCTGTGGACTAGAAGAGAGCCCCGAGCTGCTGCCTCCTGGTGGCCGGTCTCCCGGGTCTTTAGTCGCCTCAGTGTCTCCAGGAGCTAGACAATCACTGCAGGGCACTGGGTTTCCAGTCCACAGATGGCTGACGGCTGATATGATGGGGACGATGGCGTTGGTAGCGAAGCAGTCTTGAGCGAAGCAGCTCAGACCAGAAATAGTTATTATTATCATTATTATACCTATAAAGGTGGCTCTTTACTCGGTCACAGGGGTTAGTTTCGAGAGCTGTGTGCAGGTGGGTGGTGTGTCACTCTTTTACTCTCTCCGGTGTGTCTATAGTCTATATATTCCCCCCTGGAACGTCGTCTACGTTCAATACGCGCGCGCGCCTACAGAATCGCCTGGTCGACCGTCGAACAGTGCCGCCAGAGCTCTCGAAAGGGACACCCGTGGTTTTACAACCCCCCGACAACAATCAACCAAAAATAAACACCCCAGTATCTTAGATCTTAATCTTAAATCGCGAATTAACTAACGTCCATTGCTAAAAAAAAAATCTGGATAGTCGTGCCTATAAAATTCGGTTAAAGTGGTGGAATAAAGATACACGAGCACCTGGTGGCGTTATCAAAGCAAATCCAAGTCTGTTTATCGGTACCGGAACTCGAGTCAAAGGTCACTGGGTAACTGGTGGCAAGCGTTTGCAGTTACCAGTGATAATAAACCATCGTCCTATTAGGGTGAACAAACCTAACCATCTTTTCGGGGATGAAACCCAGTCTGCTAAAGTGTCTCGTGAATTAACTTCCGTTTGGATACTCCCGATTATGTTGGGAGGGTCATGGTATCACAGGAAGGTCTCTTATCACTTCAAGACACCCTCGGTTGTCTTGATGGTTTTAGCGACTCTATGGATTATAATAACAACACCAACAACTTAAAATCTGGTCAAGATCATTCGTGGGAATGTTGATGTTGATGTGGATGTTGATGTTAATGATGACGGAAGTATCAGTAGGGGCAACTCGGGGAGGTGTAACTAAGTGGGATGATATAGAGAAACACTTGGGGTGATGAAGAATAATTGGGTGAATATTCATTAAATTGGATGGAGGATACTTGTGAGATAACAACCCAAAATAATATTATTATAAAAATAAATATTATATAATGATTAAAAGTTTTAACAGAAACATATTAGTGTATATATCGTTATTATTTGAGTTTTGTTATAATTATTACGATAATTAATAAATATTATGCTCATCCGATGACTGTGACTAGTTAGCGCGGAATCGAACAATATCACCCGCTGTATTTTAAGTATAATAGAGGTAAAATATTAAATATTAATGTTAAATGTTAAATGTTAGATAGACAACTGTTAATCGGTGGGATTAGCTACGTGTAAAATTGTGTGGCTCGCCAGCTGATGTCGGGATCGTTAAGCGTCAACTGAGCCACCGGGTCACGATGATCGCGTGTCTAATGACTCCGTGAATCACCATGAGCAGATCTGACTGCCAGGGGAGTTTAAAATCGCCAAGAATGCGAGCATTAATACCAATAATTGTCTTTTTAGTGATGACCATGATAATAATGATGATGATGATGATGATGATGACACAAGTGAGGAAAATGACAATCCCGGTGGAGAAAACGGTTAAGCAGGAGTCAAACGGATGGATGACGACGAGCCAATGACATCTCGACGAGCCGGGGGGGAGGGCAGAGCTCCTCCAAGTCCCTCGAGCAGCGGGTCCGAGGACAACGGGTTTTCAACCCGTCCGAGAGTAGTCGGTGTTTATGTTAAGAATCTCAGCCGCCAGGAGCTCGACACCTTCGTTCAGGAGGACATCTACGGGGTCACTCCGACGACTTCTCGCGGCAAGGAGGAGGCTCCTCCAGTTTCTCAGTCCCAATCCCAGTCGTCGTCCTCCTCCTCGACTTCGCCTTCCTCGACGACCTACTCAATTTCTACGAGGACTTCGCTGTCAGGCAGGAGGGACAGGGCTCCTGGCTCCTCCAGGGATTTGAGGCGCCGGAGGCAGGAGGAGGGAAGGCCTAGGAGGACTCCCGAACCTGGTGATGACCCCCGGAGAGCGGAACCTGAGCCCGAGCCCGAGATGGAGAAAGACGGGAACCTTGGGAGGTCCTCCAGGAACAGCAACGAGGACAAGAACTCGGAGGACGACTCCTCCAGGCTCTCTCCTAGTGGATATGAGGTCTTTGATCAGGAGGACTCCTCCGAGAGGACCATTCGACAGTACGCTGACGACTCCGAGCCGGAAGTAGTCCTGGAGGTCGACGACAGGGAGACAGGGCGGGGGAGAGCCTCCAGGGAGGGCCAGGAGGGCTCCCAGTTTGAGGACATGTTCCCCAGGTGCTTCGCCAGGAGCCAAACTCAGAATACCGAGGAGGTTCGGGAGGAGGATCGGGAGGTCAGGGTCACCTCCAGGTTCCGGTCTCAGGATAGTATGAGACTGAGACCCCCTTTGGTTGGAACCGCGGGCACTTCTGCGGATTCCGGGACCGGGGACTCGGCCAGCGCGGAGATCCAGGTCGAGGCTCTGGGGAGCTTGATGCAGACCCCTGGAGACAATGAGGAGGAGGACAATGAGGAGGAGGATAATGAGGACGAGTACGATAATTTGAAACGCGAGTATAACAATACGCCTGGTGAGGAGCAGGGCCAGGGTGGAATCAGTGGTGGTGATGGTGCTGGTGGTTTTTGTGGTAGTGCTAGTGGTACTGGTGCCAGTGGGTTCGGGTACAGTGGCCCTAGATCTGGGAAACAAACTGTTAAACCCTTTACTAAAGAGAGCCTCGACAGACTCGAGAGCAGGACTGTTCAGCTGGTCAGGGAGTACGGGTTCCAGCCGAGGAGGAAAACTTCGGTAGAGGACGGCGCCGTGCTTCCGAATAAGTTCGAGCCTTTTCCGTCCGGGCTTTACGGCAGGCCGCTTGAGGAGATTGATAATTTTATCTACGATGAGGTGAGATACTTTTTTTATTAGGGTTAGGTGATATTTGTGATTGTGGGGTAAAAGGGGAAAGGTGGATTGGTTTTTTCGGGTTTATGGTTGCGAAGTTGGAAGGTGCGGTTGTGGTTTGAATTTTGCGGGTGAATTTGGATTTTCAGATACATATGTTCATATTGTTGGAAGGGTGTTTTACAATTGTTGGGGGAGTTTTTGTAAAAAGGGTTGGGAAATTTTTTTTAGGCTGGGAGTTTATTTGAATTGATAAAAAAAGGATTGTGTGAAAATATTTAAGTTTTGATTTAAAATTTCGGTTAAATAATTTATGAATAAAAGTGATGGAAAATGAAATAATATTTAAAGGAATAATAAATGAGTACAGGCTATCCCCATAAAAAAAATATATGTTGAAATACATAAAAAATATATATAAATTATGCATAGTAAATATATTTTTAATAAATAACTTTTGGCCGACTTTCGTACATATTTTATATATTTCAAATATCTTTTAGATATATTCAAAATAAATTTTTTTTATATTTCTAGCTATGTATTTTAAGATATATTTTGAATATATCTAAAATATATTTAAAATATATATGAAAATCGGCCAAAAGTTAGTTATTAAAAATATATTTACTATACATATTTCGAAATATATTTTTTTTATATTTTTTTTTCATGGGGGTAAATTAAAATTTTTGAATTAAAAGAAATTTTTTTAATATTTATGGACCGATTTAAAAAGTAAATTGGTTAAAAAAAAATTTGTATACCCTTATGGCTTTAAATAACACATTTTTTTAATTTTTAAAGTCAAAAAGGCGTATAATTTGGAAAATACGCCCTTATAGCTTCAGAAATTTATTTTTAAACGGAATATATATCCACCAGACGATTAGCAAGGGAAAAAAAGATCTTTTTGATTTAAAAAGCCACAAGGGCGCATAAATTGATATACACTCTTGTAGTATGTGGAAAGCGACTTAATTTTAGGTTTTTTATTTTTTAATGTAAATTGTTGTTATAATATAAAGAAAATTGTCGGATGGCTGCAATTTTCAGGCTCATATTTTTTCAGCAGTGCAATTAGAGGCGAGTATTTAAAAAAGCGGTGTTTTTCTAGTAAAATTTATTAGTAGAGCTGGTTATTATTTTAATGAGTAATTCTGAGTGTGTAAATTTATTTGAATAATTTCATAAAGCAGAAACTTGGCATGAAAAAATTATTTAAGTTCTTTTCCACGGTAGAAATGTTAAATTTTAATAAAGTAACTTTATTTAAGCTTGGAATTATTTTTTAAAAAATGTTTCAGCTAAGTAAACAGTAATTTGTTATATAAGTCTGTTCAAATAAAAAAAAAAAAAGAAAACTGTATAAAAAGAATTTAAAAATTTTGAAATAAATCAAGATAAAAGTTTCAAAGCATATTATTTCATCTAGACTAAATAAAAATTATATTCACTACAATAAATAACGAAAAAGCCTTCCAACTGCTGTTTGCTTGGAATTGCGAAACAAAAATTAATAAAATAAATGAAAGCCCGTGTAAAAAAGCACGTAAGCTTTTTCGCGAGTGAAAAACGTGTACTGAAAAGTGGTTAAGCTTCTTAGCAACTTAAAAATGTATACATAAATAAAAAGATAACAAGTGTCTCATAAAATGTGTAAGCGATGAAGCGTCTAATCAAGTAACTCAGAAGTTCTCCAAAAACAGGCGCTTAATTCGTTTTCTTTAAAAATAAAACTAAAGCTGCTCATTTCTCTATAGCACCACGCGAAGATTGCTCAATTTTTCATCCGCGACTCCATTGTCCGTCGCGAGTTTTCATATTTTTCACCACTAGCAACTGCTACCAACAAAAGAAGAGAGATAAAAAAATAATAATGAAACCCTTTTGCTACCGAAGAGAATAGAGTGGAAATAGCGGTATCATTTAACGAGTATCCAGATTCTTTACTCCAATATCATTGTCCCAATTTCGACGATCTACGATCCGAGATTCACGATATTCATTTCATGCAAACAGTAATGATGCATTAAGCTACCAGTATTATTTTCATTTGATCTCTTCATTTATCTAGCTTTAATATTGCGTTAAACTCGCTTTTCTCTCTGAATAAATTCACCACTAACTCTATGCATATATATTTATATTATGTGGGAATTAAGAGTACACGGAAAAAAAGTAAACTGTAAAATTCACTAGGATTCCGGTTAATTTTTATAGTTTCAAACAGTACAGCGGACATTGGGTCGGCACAAATGTAAATATTACAAAACTTAATGTAGAAAGTGTAAAAGCCACAATTTATAATTTAATATCGAAAATGTGATTAGTAGCTGTCACTATAGTTAATAACGATTCTCTCATCTTAAAAAATTACAGTTTCAACTAGTAAAAATTGCCGTTTCAATATATAGTCTATACTATAAGGAGAAGGGGAAGGTCTCACACTCGGAGAATTTAACATTTGAAACAGTAAAAATTCTACTCTTAAAATATATATTTTACCAGTCCAAGCAAATCAATAATTACAGTTTGATTTTTAGCGTTGCGTTTAAAATTTACCATTTTACTTTGTAAATATTGACGTTGCTTGTATAGAAATTTAGTAACTAGTTTATATTTTTTACATATCATAAGATCATTTTTTAGGTACGAAATGATGAATATCAAAGTAAAAATTCTTAATTATTATACCTTAACATTTTTGACTTACATAGCGAATATTACTGTTTGAAATAGTATTTTCTTTCATGTAAATAATAAATTGTAGCATTTAAATGATAAATATTATAAAGTGATTGTTAAAATCACGATTTTAGTGTTTTAAATGTTAATTTTTTCCAGTTTATCATTACTTAATATAAATCGTCTAATATTTATTACAGTTTACTTTTTTCCGTGTATCATATTTTACGCTTTAAATTTTCTGCAGTGAGCCGAAGCGCTGCAGTTAAGATCCATTGCAGCATTCACACAGAAACAGAAAAGTCGACTTTTAGCAGCTGGATCGAAAAAAAAAAAACTATACACATATTTCACAGGCGTTATATAGCCTATTGAAGAAATCGCGTCGGAAACGCGTGTGAAAAGACTCAGTAGCTGTGGATTTTCATACTTTCAGCTATATATATATATATATA